GCTGTGAGCATTTCCCCAAAATCCATGGTTGTCTTCAGGACACCAGCACCTTCCACATAGAACAGGAAAATTTATAAATATATTGTGTTATATATATCTACATATCTTATACTGAACAGCAAATTGTACAAATCAGAAAAGCAAGGGAAAATATATATATAGTTGTATTTACCAACTTAAGAAAATGTCATTATTTTACCCACAAACCATAATGACATCTTCGTCTTCTCTCATCACTTTGAAATACTTTTCCTTAAAGAACACTGTGGGGGTGGGCCATTGAGACAGTTCAGCACACACCAAGTAGTTTCATCAGAGGATTTCTAACCTCCACAGGTGTGGTACAATTACTCAAGAGACTGAGCTTGACACAGGGAAAAACTTTTCAGCTTCAGTTTTAATTGATTTGTATCTTTAGGTGAGGTATATGCACTTTCAGTGGAGGTTCATGCTAAACCTAGAGGCACTATGTGGGTTCTCTTAAACCCCCAGCCTACTGGGCAGTGGTGGCGCACACCTTTAATCCCAGCACTTGGGAGGGAGAGGCAGGTTCTGTGAGTTGGAGGCCAGCCTGGTCTACAGAGTGAGTTCCAGGACAGGCACCAAAACTACACAGAGAAACCCTCGAAACCACCCCCCCCCCAAAAAAAAAAACCCCACAAACAACTTGTTCCTCTTGTAGAGGACTAAGTTCAGTTGCCAACACTCACTCACATGGTGGCTCATCAACATCTAAACTCCATACTGAATACTCTTTTCTGACACTGCACAAACACCACATATAAGTAAATACCCACACAACTGCAATGCATCTTTAACATATATTGATCACATAAACTTGATAGCCTACACATTCCAGTATCAGGAACCAAGTAATCAAAGTCAAAACAAGATCAGACCTTTGGGAATGCAAGAATTTTATTCAAAGTGCAATGAAACCTGTTAACAGCTTAAGAGACAGGGGGAAACTAAGACACCTCCCCTCAAGCCCAAGAACAAGCACAAGGAGTGCTCTTTCTAGACACTGTAGTGAGAAAGGTGCGTCCATCTTCCTGTTTGACTTTCTTGGTGGCACTGGGCTCGACCTCCAGGGTGATGGTCTTGCCTGTCAGGGTCTTCACAAAGATCTGCATACCACCCCTGAGACGGAGGACCAGGTGCAGAGTG